AGCTGTCCAACGAGTGTTTTTAAATAAATTATGACGAGCCTCTGAATAAACGAATATCAAAATTGAAATGCATTTTATACACCTTATATATCACACACTTTAAGAATACAAAATATTTTTTGTTGCATGCGGTGTGATACGAGGACCGGGCTATTCAACATTTGAAATTTTCGATGTCGCAAGAGGTCAAAAAAGGGCCTTTTGCAGCTTTGACTTTTGAGAGCTCTAAAAATTTTATTTTGAGGTATTTCCAAAAAATACTGTGGCTTTATTTACTTGTTACCAAAAATAGTTTATTGGGTAAAGTTTGAGGGAAAACTTTTTTCCGATGCGAAATGCCCTGGACCACTCTTACAGAGATCGCCTCTTAAGTTCTGTTTCGCTCTTCAGAAAGTAGGGCATAAAAGTGGTTAAATATGCCAAGGTGATGACACGTTCAAGTTTCCGCAAAACTTTATTTACTTGTTACATTGATATGTTTTTGTCAACATTTAGAATAACTTTTTAGGAGACTCTTGAGCTCTTCTACATAAAAAGGAAGAGAAACGTGTAATTTTAATTACAATTACTATTTCCGAGTCTTCAGTCAGTAGTGTCAATTTATATTACATTATTTTAAAAATCAATAAACTGATTCCTAAATGTCAGTAATGGATCTTTACTTAGTTGCACTTAAGTTATAACTAATTAACACTGATTGTGAACAAAGTTATTAGGGGAAAGAACGTGGAAATATGTTTCACCGAGAAAACGAGAAACCTCAAGTTCACCATATCAATTTCCCGATCTTCGTTTTTGGTTTTTGGTTTTTATGCTTCCTTATCCTTTCAGTCTCTTCTCCTGCCTCACTTTCCACACCTTCTCAACTTTGCCTCCTTGGTTAGAGACGGAAGATTCACCTACGATTCACATCTTGACCCTTTTTCCATAAAATTATACCAAAGCCCTTTCAGATCCCTAAAAAAAGTGTAATACGGGGCTTTAGTTCTTTCAAGCCGAAGTCAAAATTATAAAAACTTGTCATGCGGATGGGGCAAATTATTCGCTTGCACAATTTAAACACAACCGAAACGAGTCGGTTCCTATGGCGACAATCTCCTGCAGAAAGGAAGTGATAAATGTTTCGCGATAAAAAATCCAACTTTGCTCAAAAGTTCTTTAAAAAGACGGGAAGTGAAGCATGTCCGTCAACCTTCCCTGTACAGCAGACTGATACGGTTTGAATTAAAAGCGGCGGGGGAACAAAACTGGCCTCACGGAATAATTTAAATCCATCTTTGACGTTCCAAAAATTTCGGGTCAGTAATAAAACGGTCGTCTTTACTATTCCATCAAATGTGGGCGGACGAGGAGAGCGTATAAACATTTGATAAACAGTCTTCATGTAGCTTTGTGTCATATGTTACACTTGTTCAGATATAATTAAGTCAGAATGGAAAAAATATTAAATAACAACTTCCTCTGTGCAACTGATTAAAGGTCATTAATATGAATTATGTATAATTGACTTTCACCGACCAACTACATTCCAAAGAAAATAATTAAGTTTTGGCAACCAAAAACTCACTGTAGCTGTTTGCTAAAATTATAACGGGCTTTGTTTTTCTAAGAACAAACTCTGTATTCTATTGCTTCGTTCTCACTGTTTTGGCTTCACTAATTCCAGGAGGACAAGGTAAGATTTTCCTATAGTCATGTCTTATCAATAGTCTGAGTAATATTTTGAAGTTTACTAAGAGTTTTTTATTACTTTTTGTTATCTTCATTAACCTAACAAGGCCTTGAAATATTCGCATAAGACTCTTCTCCCAGTATTGGTATAATGAATTATTTCGTCTAAATACTCGCAATAATACTGGATAACAAATACATTTAAGAGGAGGTTCGTGAATATTTTGTCATTTTGCTACCCAATTTTTTGAAGTAAGATGAAAACAAACGGATGAAGTTTTAGGGAAAAAGTTTTAGGAGAAACCTACAGCGAAAGTTTGCTTTAGAGTAATTACTCGCGTCTCTGTAATCTGTTCATGAACGTTTTTGACTTTTCAGTCCCACAAGATGGATAACATGACCTTTGTATTTTAAAAAGAAGTTGAGAGGCTTATTAAAACTTGACTGAAATAGCTCCGCTGGATCGAAACAAAACTTGACACAGCTTTCTACAATTTCGACAAAAAAAATTAATTCTTATGGCCACATGAAGATTAAAAAAAAAAAAAAAAACCGCAGTTATCTAAACTTTTCGCCGAAACATGTTACATGTAATAAAACGCGACTCTTTGCCACAAATTGGCTCTAAAGTTGATCTTAAGCTTTTCTCAAATTTCACAAAAATGTAAATCAGAAGATTCTTGTATTTCCGGTTTAAATCACTTAAACGTATCCACAATAGTTTGTATGATTTTCAATTGATGCACCCTAAACAGCATGAATCTTAGAAGCTTTTTATAAGCTGATTCTTCCTACGAGTGTTGGATATCGATAAGATGTCTACATGTATAACTGATTTGGATAATTACCAATTTTGTAAAACTCGTATCGATTATATTTTTTCGCAAAGATTCGTAAAAAAAGGCTTTTTCTGTCTTTGTTCAGAGTGAATAAATTTGTTTTGCCGCGAGAAAGAAAAATAAAATTAACAAACAAAGAAAACAGAAGAGAGCAAAAAAGAAACTATTCCAAATATATTTGTCTCCTTGTTTTAGGCAGAATAATAATCTAACCTGCACGAAGCGATACCGTCATAGCAAGTAAAATTAAGAAAGTATTCACATTGTTAGACAACATCTGTCGGCGAGTCTTGTGTGGTCAGTAGATTTAATTTGGAATCACTGAAAAACTGTCATGAATAATTTGCCACATAGGTGGTTTGAACGAAAATAAAAAAAACAGAACAAAAAAAACTATTCCAAATATATTTGACCCCTTGTTATAAGCAGAATAATAAATTAACCTGCATGAAGCGATATCGTCATATCAAGTAAAATTAGGAAAATATTCACATTTTTAGACAACATCTGTCGGCGAGTCTCATGCATTCAGTAGATTTAAGTTGGCACCATTGCAGAAACATAATGGAAACGAACAACAGCGTAAACGTCCTGACTTAAATATGACGGAAACATGACTTGACATTTCTATTCCGGAAACATGACGAAAACTTGATAGAATCGCCTAGACTTGGTATCACACGTTTCTGCAGAACGTAAATGTAGCGGAAACATGAAGCTCTATGTTTCTGTCACATTTAAGAAATGCGGAAACGTGGAATTTCGTCCTTTGTCAAGTGCGAATTATTGGAAAAGTGTTATGAACAATTTGCCACTTAGGTGGTTTGTTTCTCGGCTACTAGGTAAAGGTTCGTTACCAACGTGATCTACAACTGAGCCATGACAGTAGGACTGAAATCACTTTAAAAGCACCTGGTAAGGGTAATTATCTTCCACGCTATTTGGTTCTGAAGTGTTTTTGAATTGGGTAGATTAGTTTTTGAATATAGACTTTGAGTCGCAGGGAGCTCTGTCCGCTCCACAATAAAGTTGTCATAACTTATGGGCGGTCCTGTGGTCAGTTATTGTTATGAAAAATGCCTGATTATGATTAACACTTGGGGTTATCAATGAGACAAATTTCAAATCTAAGGGAAGCGCGATCAATTTTTCCGAGAATAGGAAATGAAATTTGATCGTAGACGCCAAGGACCGGAAACTATCCATCCGTGTTATTAACATTTGTCCTCAAAAAGAATCAAGAAAATGTTGAGTGCACAATAAATAAGAACGTTAAGTTTCATTTGAGGTTTAAAAGGGAAAAGAATATGAAGAAAGTAGTTTTAATTCTTCGACCTGTAAACAGATTGGAATTAAGTAATAGAGGGCTTTTCTCGTTTGCACGACTTCATCTACTCATGAAGGAAGTTGGAAGTATTCGTGGAGCCGGTTATGCAAACCTTCCGATGTGTCTCAGGGTTGTTTAACTTCCAAAGATGAGGCTAGGAAAATACTTGAAAGATATGTCTCAAAAATATGAGTGAACATAAAAAGCCACTTCCTATCATCTTAGCGCACCTTTCTATTAACAAGAGCGTACGTAATATCTTAGCTTCACTCCAACAGATAATCTTCCTTGTAAACCAAAGTTTAACAAGGAACTGAACGAAATCAGAGACGGTGATATATTTGAGCGACGTATAAGCTGCTACATGCGACATATTTTTGCCGGGTAGGTTGGCACAGTTTCATGCTCTCACCACGCAAAAACGTCTCTTTTTGAGGGAGAACACCAAATGTATTGTGCCTTAACAGATGGTTCTCCCATTTTGTAATTCAGGCTGACATCCCTACCAAAGATACCACCTTTAACTAAAATCATCTGCGAGAAGAAATCAATTTAATACCAAGAGATCCAACTCAATACTTAATTCTCTTGAAGAAATGTTCTGAAAACTGAGGGCTTTAATGGACAACGCTAAACCTGAAAACAGACCCGTTATCCAGTATGCAGCTGTCCACAAGTTTTGTGTTTGTGTTAATTCAAACCAAAAGCGTTTTCGACATGTCTCAAAAAAAGTGAACCGAGAGGATATTCAAAACTAAATAGATCGTCGCTCAAATTCATCACACAGAGGCCAATAGAGTAGCACTGTAATCTAACTCTTCTTTCGCTGAAAGAATACCACGAATTCGAAGAGAATCAAACTCAACTGATGGAAAATTAATGTGATTTGAATCCTTGACCAGTTTACGAATATTTGTGTTCATACAAAAGAAACATCACACCCTAAACGAATGCCTTTTACAGAGTTTAACTTTTGTTTCGAAAACTCTCTAATTTTTAGATTATTCTACAGCGAATCATGTTTCTCTTTTATAAGTTTATGACAGAAAGGGGGTTTCTATTCTAATTGTCCACTGTTCTCAGTCAGCCTTAGGAAACAATTTTATTCACTGATGTTGTAATACCGGCCCGTACCTCTCACTGAATTTCGTTTTTCAGGAAAAATGCTGTGGATATTTCATTATTTTCTTGTCTGTGTTTCGATCACCAACCCTGTAATCGCTGAGGATCAATGCAGGGTAGAAATTAACATTCGTGGCATGGCTCTCAAAGGTTTCGCTTTTAAGAGAATGGCGGTGGCGGCTCCTCACATTTGTGATATCTTATGTGAAAGGGAAATTATCTGCCAGAGCTATAATTTCAACAGAAAAGAACAGATCTGTGAATTAAACAACCGCACAAAGGATGCAAGACCCGAGAATTTCCGCTCAGACCCAGCGTGCTTTTATATTCGCCGTTTAAACGGAAGAGGTAAGAACTTAACAAGCACTTTGAATAAAAACCATGCTGCATACAGTCCGTGTTTTCCAATCTCCTGTGCCCTTTGGTATCAATTTCTCTATCAAAATAGAAAATTTCATCCTTTTCTTTTTTCTTTTAAGTTTAAATATTTGTTAACTTCCGTTTAAAAAAAAAGCAGCTGTGATACATGTATAAACATTGACAAAAAATGATTGCGTCATTTCTACAAAAAAGCTTAAGGTCAGTAAAGAACTTTGAAGAATTGGAAGCTCAAACGAAGGGTTTATGCGAGAGGGGGTCCTGTCTCCCTAGAGGGTTGTGCTTGACAGAACGTTGAAATATTTCACAACCAAAGAAGGACATTCAAGTGAATGGAATTCGAGCCTCATTTTTATTCTCTCGTGCTTTTCACTTTTTCCTTTCCATCTGCGCTTACGAATACTTTATTTTCAACATTTTTACCCGTACCAGCTCCCTTGGGTTCGATACAGGAGTTACCAGCACGTTCATGCCGTGAAATAACAGCAAGCGAAGGGAAAGACACCGCAAGCAACAAATACTGGCTGGATCCATCTGGCACTGGGAAGGCAGTGTTGGTTTACTGTGATATGAATTTGGAAGGTAAATCACATTTAACCCATTGTAGCTTTCATTTTGTGTTTGAGTTGTCGTTTTTTTGTAGCGACCTTGGTTGCTTTAAGATGTAAAAAAATCGCACCCGTCCTGAAAACAATGCATTGCGCAGTTTCAGCTGTAGAATAAAAAGAAAAAAAATACCCCAAAGGGAAAAAGAAGATAAGCAAATAGACAGGGTTTAACCACACTACATTTTTATAAAGTTTTGAAAAACATTCTTGCTTTAACCCTTTACACCCTAACATCAGTATTCATGTTCTCCATACTGTTCTCTGTACATTTACTAAGGTGCTGACAAGGAGAATTTGTTTGACAATCAAGAGTTTCTTTAGTTGGTGATCATTTCCTTTATTCTTGTGACCTTAATGTTTGATTCAGGGCTGATATGGTATGGAGAAATTAGATGCCAGTCACTCTTAGAGCTTAAAGGGTTAATATTGCAGGCATTGTCCATTTTGTTGGAAGAAATGTAAACATTCTTTTTGTGTTATGTGGCCATGATTGTCAACTTAGTACAATTTACTGTTTCCCTGCTAAATTAACAACAAGATCACGATGAATGCATCAGTGGAAACAATGCCTGTGACGTCAATGCATACTGTAGCAACACTGAGGGTTCCTATCATTGTACCTGCAAGGAAGGATACACTGGCGATGGACGCTCGTGTTCAGGTACATTATTATTTTAATCAGTAAAATCTGTGATTAAATTTAAAATTTAGATGATGTTTATGTGGACACCATAAACAAAAAAACCACCAGTCAAATGGCTAATCAAGATGATATACATTTATTTGCTGAGAGGGGAGAGGAGCGGAGGGGAGGAGGGGGAGGGGTGACAGTTTCCGTATCTACAGATGGGTAGAGGATTGTTTCGTACGTGACGTAATCATTAACAGAGCGGGAAGAGAATGGAAACCTTTTATGAACCCGCTTTGATTTTGCTAAAGGGATTTTAGGAGCTTTTTCTCCTTTATCTTATTCTGCTCAACCTGCAGGAATATTTTTTCAAGCGGTAGTTGGTAATACTGGCAAGAAAATTTGGACAAATTTCTTATTAGTATCAAAACTTTCACTTTTATTGTATGTTTTTACGCAGGATTTACTGCTGTGTTTACAAATCTTGGTATGATTGGAAGGAAGGGACCAGACTCGATTGGTAGTCATTACAAAGATCAAGACCATGACGGACAAGTAACATTATCCAGCGGCATTCAACTGTGGACTGTGCCACGCACTGGTGAATACAGAATAGAAGCAATAGGAGCCCCAGGGGGCTACGGTGAGGACAGTATCATCAAAACCGGAGGAAGAGGGGCAAGGATGATTGGAAACTTCATTTTGACCAAAGATGAGATCATTCATGTACTTGTTGGTCAAAAAGGGAGAAAAGGGAATTCAAACCAAAAAAATGCCGGAGGTGGTGGAGGTACATTCGTGGTGAGAGAAAACAACAAGTCTTTGATCGTAGCTGGAGGTGGAGGGGGAATTAAAAATATGTCAGAACAACATCCAGGATGTGATGCGTCCATAAACACAACAGGAAATGCAGGGAACAATTCGCCTTTGGGGTCAGGAGGAAGCAACGGACACGGAGGAAAAACGAGTGGTCAATTTGCAGGTAAGCGGAGAAGGAAGAAAAAAAAACAATCAGTTTTTTCAGTTAACCAGGATAGGAAGACGACAATAAGATTTATCGGAACTTAATTATTAAAATTATTAATTCTAACTTTGAAGGTTTTCTTTTCTCGGAGGCACCTCTCAGAATATCTAAAGTTCAACTGGGTTTCCAGTTCAGTTTTTAGAAATCGTACACATTTATTTACTGCTCACCATTGATCCGTCAATATACATGGGCATCACTTCATTACATTTCTCTTGTCCAAATAAGCTTTTCTATTTCTAGCAATTGACTACCTAATAATACTATTAAATAAACTTCCAAAAATTGAGAAGTGCACTTAATTGATAATATTACGAATCGTCGTTTAAACGCTCTTAAACAAGTAAACAATTTGGAGCCGTTTATGAGATAACTGCTTCTCACTTTTCGTTTATTGTAGATGGTGGCGGCGGCGGCGGCTTCTACAGTAATGGGCAAGATACACAGTCCCGTAAAAATGGAGGTCAAGGATATCTTCAAGGAGGAAATGGTGGATATGGTAGGGGTGGGTTCGGAGGTGGCGGTGGGTTACGTACAGGCAACGGTGGAGCTGGAGGAGGTGGAGGTTACTCTGGAGGAAATGGTGGAGCTTATGAACAGTTTTCCTGTGGGGGAGGGGGAGGATCTTTTAACAGTGGGACAAATCAGCACAATGAATGTTGTCTCAATACCGATGAACATGGTGGAGTGATCATCACGTTTCTTCAGTGACATGCCCTTGCTAGCACTTTCTCTCACGTGTAAGGCCAGTTCTGTTTTGAAGGCTGATTGTTATTGGTCTTTAAACTCCGGAGTTGAATAATGGTGGTGTTGGCCTAACAGTGCAATCTGAGGAATTAGTCATTTGTTTTTGAGTTCAGATTTTAAATAAACAAACACAATTTTCTCAGAGTATATATTTTTTGCATGAACATCTCCTGACGTAAGGAATACGCGACCTACAAAAACTGCTATTTTTGTTTTTTTTCCGGCTCTTTTCTAAGCAATTTATCGAATGGACATATGCATCACTTGATAACTAGTTTTATACATAACATGTAGGGTATTAGGACTATTAAATGATTCGTAGAGAAAATGTTGAAAAGACAGTCCTTCACATTTTTCTGTACTTCAATCACTACTTATATTTAAATATGATTTTCCATTGACTACGAGGGTTTATCAATTCATTTTGGTTGATTAAGTCAAAACCAAACTCGATTTTCAATTTTAATACAATCAGTTAGACCCAGTATCTTTGTTTTTCCGGCCGCTCTTTGGGCCGACTGATTGCATTTTTTCGCACGACACAGATTGCAGTTTTACGGCCATTGGCGCTGGTTTCAAATTATCCAAAAAACTTGTATTTATATTGAGATTGTATGGCCTCCTTTGTCGATTATCAACAGAATCCCCTATTTATAAATATTCTGTAGGTACCTGCTTTGGTGTCATGGAAATTTGAAAGCTTTGTGGTTTTACTGATAAATCTCATCAATGATTGGGTCTCGTTTCACGAAGTACGTGAAAGTAAAAGTAAGGATGTGAATAAAATATCGTGTCATGCTCGAGGCCTGTTTACATGGAGGTGGGGGACCCCAGGTAGGTGAGTTAACCCACCTAGGTGGGGTAACCCGCCTGTCCATATAACTTCTTATTTTATTTTGACCACGTTTACATGATAGGTGGGGTGATGCACCTAGGCGGGTAGGGTAACCCTGTCAGACGGGGTGACAATTTGCCATGTAAACGTGTCAAGGTAGGGTAACCCGCCATGCCAGGGTCGTGGTTATGGCAAAAAGCTCAAGAGCGAAACATGTATGTTTTAAAACTTTGTACATTTCCTAGTCGTCTCATGGCAGAAATCACCAGAAACCGCAACGGATACACAAGGAGTGTAAAATGTTCACATTTAAGAATATTTAGCGATGTAAATCAACCATATTTGGTTTCCTAAACTATTCCGTATAACGTATTAAGTCAACGGTTCCTCACCAAAGCAAACACCGCGTAACACAACGCGTGACACTTTCATGAATAAATACATATGTGTCCGATTATTAATCTTTCGTCTTTTTCGAGATGTGAGCTTGGAACGCCTCTGCCCAAACTCCTTAATTGCAAGCGCAACAACAACCTCAAGAAACTTCACCTCAGCACTTCAGGGTTGTAAGATTGTATGTAAACGCGTTTTATTTTTCGACCACGGCTAGGCGGGTTACCTCACTGACCTGGGGTCCCCCACCTCCATGTAAACAGGCCCTTAGTCTGACCACAGATCAGGGCACATACTGGAACATAATTCTTCAATAGCTTTCGCTGGAACTGTAAGTTTGATCGACTACGTGACGATCACAAACCTCGTCGTATCTTGGTTGATATCATCAATCTTTTACCGCGCCCGGCGCCGGTTGCAAACTATTCGCGAAAAGTGTGTTTTACTAATTTGTGATACGTTTGGCGTCTTTTGGTTTTTATCATTGGAATACGTCATATGTTTATTATTTTAGTTTTCGTTTTAGGATTCCCAGTCAATTGAAGAGGGTTCAGCCTCAACTCTAGCGTAATCCTGTAAAGTGACTGAAAAAAATGGCCCAGGGTTGATGCATTATCTCTCAAGTCGTAAAACTGTAGAATTTAGCTTCTTGCCACCTCTAACTATATATGTTTATAGTTCAGTGATTATTATTGAATAGGAGATTTGAATAAGTGTGAGAATAAAATCTTGACCCTTTTTCCATAAAACTGTACTAAAGCCCTTTCAGATCCCGAAAAAAAGGGTAATTTGGGGCTTTAGCACTTTCAAGCCGAAGTCAAAATACACTGTAATATTCGTGGATTTTGTCGGGTGCGGTTATATAAAAACTTGTAATGTTGATGGGGCTAATTATTCGCTTGCACAGTTTGAACACAACTGAAATGAGTCGGTTCCTATTATGACAATCTCCTGCAGAGTGGAAGTGATAATTGTTTCACAATAAAAAATCCAACTTTGCTCGAAAGTTCTTTGAAAAGACGTGAAGTGAAGCATAGACGGGGCTTTTCATCTCCTTGGCCCTTGCTTGAGAACCCCGCACCCCCCGTCGACCTTCCCTGTACAACAATCTCACAATGTCTGAATTAAAGGCGGCGGGGAAGGAGGGGGAGTTGGCACAAGACTCTTCTCCTCGTATTGGTATAATGAGTTATTTTGTCTAAATACTTACTCTTCTTGCAATAGTATTGGATAACAAATACATTTCATAAGAGGTTCGTGAGTATTTTGTCCCTTTGCAACCCAATTTTTTGAAGTAAGATGAATACAAACGGATAAAATTTTAGGAAAATAGCTTTTGGAGAAGCCTAAAGTGAAAGTTTACCTCAGAGTAATTACTCACGTCACTGCAATGCTGTTCATGAACGTTTTTGACTTTTCGATCCCACAAGACGGATATGATGACCAGTGGCAGACCTTTGTATTTTAAAAAGAAGTTGAGAGACTTATTTTAACTTGACTGAAATAGCTCGGCTGGATCGACATAAAATCGACACCGCTTTTCTACAGTTTCGTAATGAAAATTAATTATCATGGGCCAAATGAAGATTTAAAGAAAAAAGCCCGCGCAGTTCTTTAAACTTCTCGCTGAACATGTTGTGCGTAATAAAGCCTGACTCTTTGTCACAATTTGGCTCTAAAGTAGATCTTAATAATGGTTGTTCAAATTTCATAAGATCTAAATCAGAAAATTGGTGCACTGCCAGTTTTAATGTCTAAAAAGTATTCACAATAGTTAATATGCTTTCAAATTGATGCACCCTAAAAAGGCATGAATGTTAGAAACTTTTTACACCCTGATGCTTCCTACGCGCGCTGAATATCGATAAGGTGTATAGATGTATATCTCGGTTTGGATAATTACCAATTTTGTTAAGTTCTTAGCGATTATATTTTTTTCGTAAAGATCCGTCTAATAAGGCATAGCTTAGGCTTTTTTTTTCAGAGTGAAAACAAAGTTAAAATCAACAAACAAAGAAAACAGAAGAGAAGAAAAAAGAAACTATTCCAAATATATTTGGCCCCTTGTTTCAGGAGGAATAATAAACTAAACTGCATGAAGCGATATCGTCCTAGCAAGTAAAATTAAGAAATTTTTCACATTTTCAGACAACATCTGTCGGCAAGTCTTATGTGTTCAGTAGATTTAATTTGGCATCACTGAATAGATCACACTCCATGCAAGTTATTAAAAAACTGTCATGAATAATTTGCCACATAGGTGGTTTGTTTCTCGGCTTCTAAGTAAGGATCCTTTACCAAAGTGATCAACAACTGGGCCATGACAGTAGGAGTGAAATCACTTTATTTAAAGCACCTGGTAAGGGTAATTATCATCTATGTTATTTGGTTCTGAAGTGTTTTAAGGTTGGGTAGATTAGCTTTTGAATAGAGACACTGAGTCGCAGGGAGCTTTGTTCGCTCCACAATAAAGTTTTCATAACTAAAGGTAGTCCTGTGGTCAGTTATTGTTATTAAAAATGCCTGATTATGGGACAAATATAAATTTTAAGGGAAACGCGATCAATTTTTCCTAGGAAAGGAAATGAAATTTGATCTCAGACGCTAAAGACCGAAAACTATTCATCTGTGTTATTAATATTTGTCCTCAAAAGTTTGGATTAAGAAAGTGCTGCACTGAAAAAAACGCAAGAAAAGCCTCAAAAGAATGAAGAAAATGTCGAGTGTATTGTAAATAAGAACGTTGACTTTTAATTTAGGTTTAAAAGGGAAAATAATATGAAGAAAGTAGTTTTAATTCTTTGACCTGTAAACAGACTGCAATTAAGTGATAGAGGGCGTTTTTAGTGTTTGCATGACTTCTTCTACTCATGAAAGAAGTTGGAAGTATCCGTGGAACCGGTTATGCAAACATTCGGATGTGTCTCGGGGTTCCTGAACTTTCAAAAATTATTCCCTGGTCTTTAGATGAAGGTAGGAAAATACTTGAAAAAATTTGTCTCAATAATACGGGTGAACTTAAAAAGTCACTTCCTATCATCTTAGCGCACCTTTCTATCGACGACAGCGTACGTAAGGTACCAAAGTCGTTCCTTTTTAGTTCAGAGTTTAAATTTACAGAGAAGCATTTGCAAGAATATGTTCATTTGTGCCTACTGCTTAATCTTTTTCGCACTTGTTCTTCAAAAGACCTTTCGTGTTTCACTTTCTTAATAGTTCCAATAAGACCTAATGTCCCTAAACGATTTAATGTGCCTGAATTATTTATAAATGCAGGATTTCTTTAAAAAAATAAACTGCTGGCTCTCCCTCACACACATAGTCGAAGAAGTTTAATTTCGGGCATGATTTTTAATCATGGCTAGAAAACAATCTACAATACTTTCCTGTTAACTTGTTTTGAGGGAAGCTGACATCATACATCACATTTAACAAAACGTTTTGTTTTGTGATTTAAGGGTTTTTGTTAAATCTTTCCGTTTGGTTTTTTTTTTCCAGTACCCAGTTTATCTTGTCTCTGTGTTTCATCTGCATACATCGTGACATGTCGTCGAGCCTCAAAAGTTTCAAGGAGCTTAGAATTTGACTTTTTTCCATTCACTTGTCGATGTTTACTTTTATACATAAAGCATGCTATTCATTTTTTCTTTGTGGGGATCATTTGGTCATCATTAGTGAATTTAGAAAACGTTCAAAGTAATGTAAAGAAAGAAAGAAAAGTAGGCCCAGTTACTCCTGTAGAGGTATCGCAAAGAGACCTGGGAATTGTCTTATGGTGATTTTTCTGTTTCTGATCGAACATTCGTTAAAAGACGTTTATTAACCATTAAGAGTTCTTGCTTTCCAGAACTTAAAATCATCTCAAGTCGTAAAATCATAAAGTTGAGCTTCCTGCTACTTTTGATTATGTATGTTTATAGTCCATAAAGTAAATACGTGGTTAAATAATAGAAAAGAATTTTCAACCTGTTTCTGTGAAATTGAAGCCTCCTGTTGGTCCCTTGAAAAAAGCTGAACATTTGGGGTTTGAGTAATTATAAACTGAAGTCAAAACACACTGTAATACCGCTGAGATGGTTGTGTGTGGTTGTGTAAAAATTCATCTTTATAGATATGGTTAATTATTCGCCTGCACAGAGACGAGTCGGTTGCTATGGTGACAATCTCCCGCCGAAAGTAATGAGTGTAGAGTATTTGAACGCATATTTAACTACAGCTGTCTCAATTTGTCTGATGTTCCCCGGCATAAAGTTGAAAAAACTCACTTAAGCTGTTCGTTGGAATTATAGCGGGCGTTTTGTGGGAACATGCTGTTTGTTTTCTACTGCTTTGTTCTCACCGTTTTGGCTTCTCTAATACCAGAAGGACAAGGTGAGATTTTTCTACGGTTATGTCCTAGCTCATGTTTGAGTACTATTTAAAAGTTTACCGAATCATTATGTTACATTTTTATCATCCTTATTAACATAACTAAGCCTTGAGGTATTCGCACAAACTTCTTCCAGAAATATTATAGATAATAAACTAATTTTAACCAAGTTTCGCTCTAGGCAGGTGTAAGACAACCTTCATATTTTATAAGAAGTTCAAAATAACATGTTAGGGAACATGGGTTTTGGGAAGCTTTACTTCAAAATAATTGATCGGGCCTCTGCAATGTTTTCCATAAACGTTCTAAAATTTTTAATGCGGCACAAAGGATAAGATATCTACGGGCAGATCTTCGAATTTTAAAACAAGTAGAAAGTCTTGTTGGACTCAACTGAAATGGCTCGGCTGAATCAAATGAAAGCGCGACACAGAAGTGCAACTTTTAATTATAGTCTTTTAGACTAGAAATAGCGTTTCGGGGAAAAGAATTAAAAAGAAAAGAAAAAGCAACAGAGCTTTTTACTTTGGGCTGAAACATGTTATTTGCATCAAAACTTGCAACTGGCCTTTTTTGGTAAAATCTGACTAAAAGTTGATCCTTAAGTTGATTCAAATATTACAATCCTATAAATTGAGGACTTTGTGGATTGCGGGGAGTCTCTGCAGAAAGGAAGTTCTATATGCATATATACATAAATAAACAAAATATTCATTGTACTTCCTAAGACCGTTTTAAACAAAAAACTATCTGCCATCAAAGCAACTTTAATTTGTTAACAAAGTCTTTTTTTTTTAACAAACACAGGTTTCAGTGTGAGCTAAGGACAGGTTTTCAAAACCTTGCAAGAGTTAATCTGCCAGTTATTTCATGCAATAATGATCACGAGACTTTCACGAACTCAGGCAAAATAAATGAATGTCCATCGTGCGCGTCAGTATGGTAAAATAAGATCGAAAATTATTTTAAAACAGTGACGTCAGCACATATTCATGATCGCAAAAAGATTTTGACGCTTTTTTGCTTTAAAGTAAATACATGTGTTTGATTGTATTTTCGAATTAAGGAAAGTAAGTAGCTTAAAGTAGATTCTGTCTAATGGAAAACCACGAACAAGTTCACTACAGAGGATGTATTTTTGGAAAGGAATTCATCATTAATTGATGCAGACATCCTGTTTTGACTGACATGAAAATTTTTCCTCAGGCTCGATATTTAACACCCAACTTTGAGTCCTCACTTTCACTTGGTGCAGTAAATTGAAAAAGCAAATTTATTCTTACAGTTTATCGTAGCGTCAACATCAATCTGGATAATAAAGTTGCCCATCGAAAACGTAAATTTTCGAAAACGCGCTCTTAAAGAAGATGATTTGAAAATTCAGACTTTACCTTATGGTTTGAACGAAAAATTCTAGAAAAAGGAATTTTTCAAGGAAAACCGTTAGTGCAGCATGTGGCGCCGCATTTTTCTACTTCACTCGACCAAAATGTAACAATTTAGGGTTTATTGTTCCTGTTACATTAAATTGTGCCCTTAAAATGTGCATGCTCGGGGGTAAATTTCAGTCGATTCGCCTCCAAGCCATTGTTAATGCACACTACGGATGTAAAAATTTGGTTAATTTTTTAGAGATAAAAGCCAGGACCTAAATAGTATAAAAAGAGTTGGTAAACAAGTTTTTTAATATACAGAGGAGTTTTTAACTCCTTGAGTTATACGTCAGCAAGTTTAATTATCTCTCGCTTTGCTTTCGTAATACTCAGTATGGTCGAAATCTGCAGTCAGGCTACACAACAATTAACGTACGTACGCTTTTCACGAATTGAGTCTTTGAGACGAGACCAAACAAAAGCTGGCAATAACCTTTATTAAAGAGCTAAACATGCTCAGACGACATTACTACCATCACGTGACTAACACGAATTACTCTACATATCAACACGGGTTGATTGTAGACTTCGGCGTCGATTGATAGATCGATCATAATAGGTGATCGCATCAAAAAGTTAAAAATTCCCTTTATCATTCAGAACAATATTTAAAATTACTCGACTGGTGTTATAGGCAAGGCAGAAAACCAAAATCCAAATTAGAGCAATGATTAAGGAGTAACACTGCTCTAAAGTTCCAGCTTAAGTTAAAGTTCCTAATGCTACATACAACTTTCTAACTTAGTAGATTTTTTCTCTAGGTAATTGCCGCAATTTAAAGTTCACCAGTTTTCCTAAATTTGGCTTCCGGTTGGAGAATCACACGGTTCGAACCATTGACGTCGTCAACGAGGATCTCTGCATGTTTCAATGCTACCTGGAACCCAACTGCGTCAGTTATAACTTCTGTGAGATAAAACAGTCGTCTGGAAAACATGAGTGTGACCTAAATAACGCGACTATTGAACACGATGAAGACCTGGTGAAAAACAAAATTTGTATTTACCGCGGAGCAGAGGTGAGGATAAACTCTATGGGCCAAAAGTAATATTCATTGTCCGAGAAAGCTTTAATACCGGACCAAGGGATACCTAGCCTCTCTAACCCGTTAATTTTACCCGCTTGCAAGGGGAATAAATGAATACATGCGAGGAACCTATCATGCGTGCAAAAATATCATTTTAAGTTTATCCCTTCCTTCCCAAGAATGCTTGTAAGCAAAATCCTTGCAAGAATAACGCAACATGCCAAGCTGGGTTTACAGACAAAGACTATCAGTGTTTGTGTGTTGATGGATCTGGATTTAAAGGCCACGATTGTGATGAGGGTAAGGAGTCTTATATTTTTCATTAAGGCAGAAACAAGATGTATAAGTGATAAGCTCCGCAAGTGATTGGTGATAAACGCAGAACATCGCAGGTGAAAGCCTAGAATGGCACAAGTTATTCAAAATACAAAAGGGACTTACATGTGAACAACTATGTTGCTTCTTATGGTTCATCTTGGAACGGGATTTTTCACTCATTTTTGTTTTTTACCTCATTCAGTCTCAATTTTCTTCAACGCGGTTTCTTACCCACCATCTACACGAACAAACTGTAATTTCTCAGTTTCCTTTCTTACGAAGCGAATGTCAACAGAACTAAGCACAAAGTTTACGCAAAGATCAGACGTGATCCCATATCTACATAAAAACATAAAACAATGAAAGATTAAGGTTGATTAAAAATTGTTCTAGCCACGTTCGTTGAATGAGCCAGCAGACACGTTTTCTTACCACATTTAAAACAACATCTAATTGTTTATCACGAATGAACGATATTATCACACCGCTTTAAAAACGTTCGTCCCTTTTGGGTTCATATCAACTCAATTCAAGGATGAATTTCATCACTTAATCCAATAACTGGTTGAAAAAATGATTAAAACGAGGTTTCTGTATATTGCGGGCTTTCAAGTTTTATGTGAGAAAATGCTTGACAACATCAATGAAGAGATCTGATGTTCTTAATCTGTTAAAATGGAAGATTATACACCAAGCTCCTCGCAACAACGTTCACTCACAAACATGTAAACAGCATTAAGGAGATATTTTCTCATTAAAAAAATACACCTGATGTGGGCAGAAGCCAAAATGTACTCAGATTATGTAAAATGGAAAATATCTACCGATGGCGTGTGAGCAATTTCAGGTATATTAAGGTGTTGCGACACTCTTTTCTTATTTGGTAATTTTAGATTTCCTTTTGCTTTAAAATAGATTTACGTTGTCAAGGAACGCTTGGTATGGAAAGTGGTGCAATCACCGATGAGCAGATAACTTTCTCGTCCCAAAAACACAAGGATAACGCGAAAATTGTAAGATTACATCACACAAGGAAGACTTGGATACCAGATAATAAGGATTCTAATCCGTGGCTTCAGCTCGATCTCAGAGCTCAAAACACTGAAGTAACACGAGTAGCAACACAGGGATCCCGTCAACATAACAAATGGGTGACGAGGTACAAGCTACAATACAGCAACTATGGAGTGAGATTTCAAAACTACAAGGAACAAGGAAAAACCATATCAAAGGTAAAACTGATCAGAGGCCTGGAAGGGTTCTAAAACATGAGCTGCTCATTGTACACAAAGCCAAGTTCATTCCTTTACTCAAACTTCCCCGAAGTGTTCTTTGAGTAGTTTGTTAGGACAAACAGTCTTTTTTGCAATCAGGGATTCGTTTCTCGATTTGTTACGATGCACGAGTCGACAGTTGTTAAAGAAGATTGTTACGATGTATGGAATTTCTTACATTTACCATTTTCTTTGCACGGGTACAAATTTCATCCTGATCCAGTTTTTGATCAACCTCAGATAGATATTTGTAGATAAAGTTCGTCTTAATTTTACCGTAAGGTGGAACGGGATGAATTTAATGAATGAAATCGCTCGTGAGATATTTCACGGTTTACCTAACGCAAAACATTGCATAATATAATGATTTTATTTTAAAAAATTCTTATGTTCTTATGCGGGCACGTACCAAGCAATTTATATGAAAACACGTAACATTTATTTCACATCTTTTATAATGCAGGAATTTGACGGAAACACAGACGAGAACAGTGTTGTTTATCATGACCTGAATGCACCAATCACAGCAAGGTACATACGATTTCTACCAGTGGAGTGGGAAGGTGAGATATCAATGAGAGTGGAACTGTATGGATGCGTGAAAGGTAAGAAAATAACTTTCCTCTAAAGCTGATAGTTTGCATCACAGTTGATCTAATTATAGGAGCTCTTTAAGGTTCTTCATTTCGTTGGAAGTTTCTGTGATTATGTTAACGACATTTTTTTTAGCTCAGTGTAAACTACGCTTGATTAAATACTTCATGATCTTATAGCTACTTTTATTTCGCTGCCGTAGATAAGTTATATTTGTAAAACGCCCGCTAACCTTTCGTAAACAGAATGTGGAAGATTTCTCGGCATGCAAAGCGGTGACATCTCTGATGGACAGTTAAGCGCCTCTTCAGAGAGAGATTCTAAACACTCCGCCACTCAGAGCAGACTTCATTTTGTAAATCCTGACGGAGCGGGATCTTGGGCGGCTGAAAGTAATGGTACGTATCAATGGCTCCAAGTTGATCTGGTTATTCTGAACACTCGAGTGACACGTATGGCAACACAAGGAAGTAATAGACACCAGGGAGAGTGGGTTACAAAGTACAATCTGCAGTACGGCAACGATACTGAAAGGTTTCACAATTATACAGCCCCAGGACAAAACACAACGAAGGTAAAATTGATTTCTTGTGTATTGATTCTCGTTTGAACAAGAAAAGAAGTATTTTTGGATCATCATTTGCAGGGATTTTGCAAACGCACCGCTAGTAATAATTGCATGATATTGAGCCCCCCGAGAGGCACGATTATAGGAATGGTGTATGAATGAGTTGTGGAACTTTTTTAACATCACCATTTTGATTCAGGTCGGCAATCAATATGTTATTGTCGAATGTAATCTTTCGATGTAATGAAGTAAGTCAATGCCCGACTATCGAGGATTTCTATTTTCTAAAAATACAAACGTGAGCAAGCGTCGGAAAATGCATAGCACGACTTGATCGAACGCTCCAAGTGACTGACGTTTCAATTCCATTTTTTCGGTGATTTAATAATTTACGTAAATGTAAGAACATTTCCTTAGAAATGGCAAAGAAACTTTTGACAATTTCTTACCAAAAACATTACTTTTATTCTATGGTTTTACGCAGGATTTACAGCTGTGTTTACAAATCTTGGTAAGATTGGACCAAAGGGTCCAGACGCGATTGGTAGTCATTACAAAGATCAAGATCATGACGGAGAAGTAAAATTGCTCAGCGGTATTCAACTGTGGACTGTGCCACGCACTGGTGAATACAGAATAGAAGCAATAGGAGCCTCAGGGGGGTACAGTGAGGACAGTTTTATAAAAACCGGAGGAAGAGGGGCACGAATGATTGGAAACTTTAATTTGACCAAAGATGAGATCATTCATGCACTTGTTGGTCAAAAAGGGGAAAAGGAGAGTTTTAACTCAAAAACAGCCGGAGGTGGAGGAGGTACATTTGTAGTGAAAGGAAACAACAAGTCTTTGATTATAGCTGGAGGTGGAGGAGGAATTAAAAATGTATTGGAACAACATCCTGGATGTGATGCGTCCATAAACACAACAGGGAATGGAGGGTATAACTTGCCATTGGGTTCAGGAGGCAGCAACGGAAATGGAGAAAAGGCCAGTACAAAATATTCAGGTACGCGGAGAAAGAAGAAAAAAACAAAACAATCAGTAGGTTCAATCCATCAGGACAAGAGGACGACAGTAAGATTTGTCAGAACTTAATTGTTGAAATTACTAATTCTAACTTTGAAGTTTTTCTTTTCTCGGACACACCTCTTAGAATATCAATTTTTTAAAAAATCCTACGTATCACCTCATGTACATTTATTTTGTCCTGATAAGCTGTTCTATTTCTAGCAATTGACTACCCAATAATATTTTTGAATAAATTTCTAAAAATTGAGAAGTGCACTAAGTTGATAATATTGTGAATCGCCCTTTAAACGCTCTTAAGTAAGAAATCAAATAGAAGCCATTTATTAGACAACTGCTTCTCAGTTTTCGTTTATTGTAGGTAGTGGCGGCGGCGGTTTCTACAGTAATGGACAAAGTGCTTCGAGCGGTTCTGGTCGAGAAGGTAAAGGATATCTTCAAGGAGGAGAGGGTGGAGATGGTAAGGGTGGGTTTGGAGGTGGCGGTAGTTTACGTTGGAACCGTGGAGCTGGAGGAGGTGGAGGTTACTCTGGAGGAGACGGTGGAGCTAATGAAGAGTTTTCCTGTGGGGGAGGGGGAGGATCTCTTAACAATGGGACAAATCAGCAAAATGAATGTTGTTTTAATAGGTATGGACATGGTAGAGTGATCATCACCTTTCTTCAGTGACATGCCCTTGGCAGCACTTTCTCTAACGTGTGAGGCTAATTCTGTTTTGAAGGTTGATTGTTGCTAGTCTTTAAACTCCGGAATTGAATAATATTTTGTTTAATATTCAAGGTCAGTCACTGAGCGCTTTAAGGTGTTGACCAAACGGTGAAACCTGAGGAATTAAAGTCATTTGTTTTTGAGTTCAGATTTTAGATTTACAAACATAGTTTTCTAGAATAGATTTTTTTTCTGAACATCTCCTGACATAAAGATCACGCTCTCATAAAAACTGCTGTTTTTGTTCTTTTTCCGGCTCTTTTCTAAGCAATTTGTCAGATGGGCATGTGCATCAATTGAGAACTAATTCAAAAATAACATGCAGGTAATGAGGACTAGTAAGTATTTTGTAGAGAAAATGTTGTGAACATAGTATTTCGTATTTTTTCTGTACTTCAATCATTACTTATATTTAAGAATGATTTTCAACTGACTACGGAGGGTTTGTCAATTCATTTTTCTTGATTCAGTCAAAACCAAACTCGATTTTCAATTTTGATACGATCAGTTAGACCCAGTATCTTTGTTTTTCTGGCCGCTCTTTGGGCCGACTGATTGCATTTTTTCGCGCGACGCAGCTTGCAGTTTTACGGCCATTGGCGCTGGTTTCAAATTATCCAAAAAAACTTGTATTTATATTGAGATTGTATGACTAATATAATATACTTGATTTGGGATTTGTATGGCCTCATTTGTTGATTATCAACAGAATCCTCTATCTATATTTTATCTTTGTTTTGGTTTTACAGCGATACTCTTGATTTAATGTTTCAAAGCTTTCAATAACGCCTTAGGTTGGAAGGATCCGGACAGTAGTAAAAGAGAGGGCCGAAATATGGTGGCGAGGGCACAACTTTTATGCTTTGTGGTTTCACTGATAAATCTCATCAATGATTCGGTCTCGTTTCTCGAAATACGTGAAAGCAAAAGTAAGGATGGGAATCAAATATTATGTCATTCTTAGGTGTTCTGTTTCAAAACCACGTCCATTCATTGGACTGGGAATACTGATAGGCCTACAGAGCGAACTGGTGCCGTAATAATTGGTGTTATAATAGAGTGTGTGACCAAAAAGGCTCTCAGTCTGACCACTGATCAGGACTCACACTGGAACAGAATTCTTTTAATAGCTTTCGCTGGAACTGTAAGTTAGATCGACTATGTGACGATCACGAACATAGTCGTATCTTGGTTGATATCATCAAGTTGTAATTAGTCATTAAATAACAGGCAAGGAAATAGCTAGTCTTTTAAAAAGAAACTATTGTGAATTCAGTTCTTCAGATTTCATGTGTTACATTAGAGGAATGTTTTTCAATTGACTGTTAGGGTTTATCCTTTAATCAATTTGTTTTTCTTTGTCAGCTCAAAACCAAAAGGAACTTTCAATTTTGATTCTCACATTTAGACCCAGTATCCTTGTTTCTCTTCCCTTTGGGTCGTATTTTGCTGCGCATGACACATACGGCATTTTTTTACCGCGACCGGCGCCGGTTGCAAACTATTCGCGAAAAGTGTGTTTTATTAATTTGTGATACGTTTGGTGTCTTATGGTTTTTATCATTGGAATACGTCATTTTTTTATTGTTTTAATTTTGGTTTTAGGATTCCCAGTCAATTGAAGAGGGTTCAGCCTCACCTCTAGCGAAATCCTGCAAAGTGACTGAAAAAAATGGCCCAGGGTTGATGCCAAATTGTCGATGTGGCCACTCTATGTGATGGGTTTTTAGATGTTGATTAATTAAGAGGGGACAAACAAATTCTAAAATGAGATTCAGTCATTTAAGAGGCGATCTCTGTAAGAGCGGTCCAGGGCATTTCGCATCGGAAAAAAGTTTTCCCTCAAACTTTACCCAATAAACTATTTTTGGTAACAAGTAAATAAAACCACATTATTTTTTGGAAATACCTCAAAATAAAATTTTTAGAGCTCTTAAAAGTCAAAGCTGCAAAAGGCCCTTTTTTGACCTCTTGCGACATCGAAAATTTCAAATGTTGAATAGCCCGGTCCTCGTATCACACCGCATGCAACAAAAAATATTTTGTATTCTTAAAGTGTGTGATATATAAGGTGTATAAAATGCATTTCAATTTTGATATTCGTTTATTCAGGGCTCGTCATAATTTATTTAAAAACACTCGTTGGACAGCTTTCTGAAATTGGTTAAAAGTACTCTTTCTCTCTCGATTGATATTGCTCAAGTCCAACCAGACCATTAAAAACTCCGCTTGATTTCTGCTAATAAGATGTTTGGCTGCAGAAAAATATAAAAACATCTTGCACTTATTGATTTTCTTCGCCGAGATGACTTCGAACTTTTAGCGATATTGCAAGCGTGACAGCCGATTATGCAAATTAGTTCATTGAGCAAACTCCGACCGTTTTATGTGAGTAGCTCAATAAATCTTAGAAGTAGAAAATATAATAGAAAATATAGTAGACAGAGCTTTAAGACCACACCGATTAATACCTTAAACATTTTAAAAGGCCAAAATTTGACAAATTTTATTATCTCGTGACGAAAGACGTCAACAACAACGTATCGAATATCAATTTGATTAGCGCTCGCAAACCCCTTTTTAAAAATTTGGCTTCTGTTATTTCATATTTGAGTTCTGATGGCTTACGCTATTCAAACCTGTATGAACATTTCAAAACCAAACTACAGGATTCTATTTAGTGTAACCGGCGATAACAGCACACACTGAAATACACCGTGACCACTGTCACATAATTCAATTGTACATGTGTAATTATCCTCATTTGCTTCTCCCTTCTTAATAAAGCAGCCATAACGTCGCCTTTTGGATCCGAATTCTGGTCGGCAGGAATAAGAGGAATTTTGTCTGCACACCTGTCTTTATGAAAGTTTCTATTCAGAACTCTAGGGAGTGGAAAAGGACTACGCGATTTTTGAGGAAATAAATTATTACGTTACGTGTGACCTCATTTTTCCAACAATTAGCTATATCTATACTGTAAAGTGCGTAATTATATTAGCTGTAATTCATATTTCTCTTTCGGTACTGGTTTGCTTGGGATTAATAACACTAAATTCTTGAAGCGGTATTCGCCAAAAGAAGTCCTGTTTTCAGTCGCGTTCTTCAGAAACTTCGTTAGAAGACTCACGAGGAGTTTCCGGTTTGTTTATCTTGCCTCAGAGTACTGACTCAATAAAGAGTCATCTCTGCTTAATCCATTTGTCAAAAGAGAGTTTCACAGAAGGAGAGCTTATCTTTGCAAGGGCTGGCCTGTTCGATGCAGAAGACTCAGTTATGGCAAAATGTGGGTCTGCGCAAAGCATAGGCACACTTATGGGAAGTTCTGGCGCCAAAGTTCAGCGTGCCAGTATTCGACACACCCTGGTAGCGATTCCAAAGGGCTAAAGAGCCGGTATTCTGTCAATTTGCAAAAGTGAAAGGCCATTTCTAAGATGTATGGTGTTATATAGAGGTTTACACGATACTGCAGCTGAGGGAGCGGATGGTTTCAAGGATTTTCTCCAAATTATAGACGAATTGGAAAGCGTGGGAGCAGAAAAGGACTAGTGTAAAGAAGTTCGGAAGAGGCTTCAGGAGAGCAAGTTGTATTTGAAGACTACATACTGTAATCACTGCGAAGAGGACGATAACAAATGTGCCGATCACTGTAGGGTCTTTGCACTGAGCTATGCTGGTGACACTGGAGTTCAGAAAGTATGCAGTCACAGTCACAACGTGAAGTGTGAGGATTGTGAGATGTTGAAGAGTGTTCTTGAAGAAGTAAAGGGCGCTATTTCTGAGTACACAATGCAATTGGGTAGGTTTCAAGCGGAAGACTATCTGTATGAAGCAAAAAATGCTGCCGCTAAGACCTTTGAATGGAGAGGGTATATCCTGAGAGCAGAAACCAGGATCAGTACGAGCTGAAAATTTTCGATACTTTGGAGGGAGATGAAGCATTTATAATAGTTGACTGGACAATGAAGTTCATAGCGATGAAGTTCCGGGAAAAGCAAGCAGAATGGTTTCCCTAGAGGGAAATCAATTGGCATGCGAGTAGCGCTGTTGTAAGACAGGAGGAAAGCCTGGAAGTAACCTGATACGTAGACCTTCTTAACAGCTGTAAAAAAGACTGGTTTTCAGTGCTGTCAGTCCTAGAA